AAAAAAAAACTTGATCAAACTTGTGTTTCTCATAAATCCTTTCATAAAAAGGATTACATTCATAGTTTACTCTTTATATGAATCTGGAAGGATTTATGAGAAAAACAAGTTAGTTTATTAATTTAAAAAATAAGCCTATTACATGTTAACATAAATAACATTTTAAATAAAAATTATATCTTCCAAAACAAAAACAAATCTAGTAAGAGTAGCATTTTTTTTTACATCCTCCCCCACCCCCAGCCAAAGCTCATAAATGCTTCTGCATTCAATCAAATTCTGAAAAACTTCCCTATATTAGAGAATGATAGTGGAAGAGGCAAATACTGTTTGTTGGTTTGTTTTTCTTTTCCATTTTTTGGGGGGTGGTGGTGGGAGGGGACAATACTTGGGATTGAACCCAAAGGCACTTTTACCACTGAGCTAGATCCCAGTACTTTTTATTTTTATTTTGAGACAGGGTTTCGCTAAGTTGCCAAGACTGCTATCAAACTTGCAATCCTCCTGCTTCAGACTCTCCAGTCTCTGGAATTACAGGTATGTGTCACCACCAAGGCTAAATACTGTTTTATTAATAATATGAAAAATACTTTTGTATTTTCAAGTCCATTTAAAGGATCTCCAGACAATACTTCAAGCTCAGACTCTTGATACCAAACTGCCTATGGTTAAAGGTATTTACTAGCTATGTTTAAAACCCTCTTACCCCTTTTTACTAGCTATACTCAAACCCTCTCTGACTCATTTCTCGCCTTTCAAAACTAGAGATAATAAGGGTGCCTACATCACATAGTTATTACACACTTGGAATAGTTTTTAATCACAAGGTGTTTGCTGTATTATATAATTAATCTTCATGAAAGTATGTGCTATGAAATAGCTTCTGTTATCCCGTCTAACAGATAATAAAGAGGCTGAGTGACCTACACAAGGAAACACAGCTTAAATGATAAACTACACAAGGAAACATAGCTTAAGTGATAAAACTCAGATTTGAATTTAATACCTATTGACTGGGGCTGTAGCTCAGTGGTAAACAACTTACCTACCAAGTACCAGGCTCTAGATCACTCCCAGCACTGCCAAAAAAATAAATAATGAACGCCAACTTTAAAACCTATGGTTGAAAAATGCAATATGTAATATGACCCCAATCTCATTGTTCATATTACTCTCCTCAGTTTTCTGTTTTAGACACACTCTCAGTTTCTCTATGTCAAAAACACCTTCACCCCAAGGCATCTGTGAAGGCCTTGAGTGGAATGCTATACTTGAAGGCCTGCCTGGAATGCTATACTGCTCCTATTTTCCCCCCAGTACTGGAGACTGAAATCAAGGGTGCTTGTACCATGGAGCTATTCTTTTTAAATTTTTTATATATTAAGTCTCTGCAGCCCTTTTCCAACCACTGTATCTAAATAGCAGCCTTTCATCATTTCTCAGTATTTTCTATCACAACACAAGGTTTATTTCTTTCATAAAGTTCCAAATCTTGTTTATTAGTCCTTATTACTTATTGACTGTCTGTCTTCCCCCATCAGACTATATATTCAAGGAGAAGAGAGTCCATGTCTGTATTGGAAATGCATGCAAAGCTAACAAGCATACTATGGTATCTGGATATATGACAGGTATTTAATTACTTACTTTTGTTGAATTAATGAACCACACTGCTTAAATATTTGGACAAATTACTTAAACTCTCTGGGCTTCAATTTCCTATAGTTAGTTACTTTCTTTTTTTTTTTTTTTTTTTTAATATTTTTTTTTTATTTTTTAGTTATCGGCAGATACAACATCTTTGTTTTGTATGTGGTGCTGAGGATCGAACCCGGGCCGCACGCATGCCAGGCGAGCGCGCTACCGCTTGAGCCACATCCCCGGCCCTAGTTAGTTACTTTCTGATTCTAAAATCCTAAAAGTATATTTTACTGACTTTATTTGAAAAAAGTGTAGTAGCGATTACAAAGAAATTTTGTAAACATAAAGTCCTAATCAGGTTTAACATCTTCTAGTATCTAAAAGCAACTATAGAACAGAAGTAAAAATATGCTGTAAACTAACTAGACAATAAAGAAATCTCGAGATCATTTCTTCCACTGTACATTACATTCATCCAGTCACCTGGTATGTGAAACTATAAATGTTTAAAAGCAAGAACTCAAGCTAGTATTCCAGCATGCAGCCCAATTCAAACCAACACTGCCTTATTTCCAGAGTACAGAACAATAGAGAACATTACAGAAAATTATTATCTTTTTGATGACCATGATAATACAACTTTTATTAGCAGACCCTAAATACAACATAATGAATAAAATAAACTGCTAGAATATGACCTGACGAGGGTCAAGAATTATTTGCCAAAAAGCAAACTCACAGAATTTGTCCAAGTACAATAAGCTCTCTATTATCTACATGGTTTAGGAGTTCTGTCTTACCTAACTCAATATATATAATTTTTTAAGAACTGTCAGTTTATAGTCAGAATATAAGCTGGCAACACAGCCTAATAGTTAAGAGTATGGATTCTAGCTCCATGGCCTACACATTGTATTTCTCTGGGAAAGTTACTTAACTACTCTGTGGCCTCAAATTCTTCATTTACAAAATGGGGATAATACAAGTACTTACAGCAAAGATTTTAAAAGACTAGGTAATTTAACATATAAGGTCTTAAAACAATGTCTGGCACAACATGTCTCCATAGATGTTAGCTACTATTATAACAGAAATAATATCAATACAATTATGTCATTTCTGGACAATTTAGAAACATTTTTACTGCAGAGGTAAAGTACACAGATTATTCATCCTTTCTTTCAACTAATATTTACTGAACATCAATTATATGCTAGGTTTGAGTAAGATGTTAAGGATACAACAATGAGCAAAGAATGATTAAATGCTAAAGGGTTTTTAGAGAACCAAAATTATTGAATAATATACAATGGAGTTCTACTCAGCTATAAAAAGAATGAAATTATGGCATTTGCAGATAAATGGATAAAAATGGAAAATATCATGCTAAGTGAAATAAACCAGACTTAGAAATTCAAAGGTTGAATGTTTTCTCTCACATGAGGAAACTAGAAAAAACATAAAAAGGGAAGGAAGGATAAGATAATATAAATAACCAATCAAACAGAAATTAATAGACATGTAGAGGATAAAGAATATGGGAAAGGGGAGGAAGAACAGCAGGGAAAGGGAAAAGGAAAGTGGGAGGGATAATGAACTAAAATTGATTTGCATGATTATATGAGTTTATGATAATGAACTCAATTATTATGTATAATTATTAAGCTTCAATAAAAAATTATTATTGGGGGGGCTAGGGTTGTGGCTCAGTGGTAGAGTGCTTGTCCAGCATGTGTGAAGCACTGGATTCAATCCTTCGCATCATATATAAATAAATAAAAATAAAAGCTCATCAACAATTAAAAATTTTTTAAAAAAATTATTATTAGATAAATCAAGCTATATTATTATCAGGACAACATGTAGAATAGCCAATAACAATTTCATTACTGCAAACTTTCAAACCTGGTCAACACTTATGAAGATATGTCTAAGTATATGTCTGAAATTTAAAATTAAGACATGCTATTATTGTAAAAACCAAATTCCCTAAGGAAAAACTTAAAGCTGTCCTTGTTTTGTCTGGTGCAGAAGTTAACAACCAGCTATGGTTATTTAAAATAATTAAAATGAAATAAAATTTACATATTTTCCTCCAATCTGGGGAGAGAAGAGACTGGACACATTCTGTACCCTGGACTGCTGACGAGAAGACCCATCTGGTTTCACTTTATGAAATCTGCCCTGTATCCATATACCATTATACTAGATTATTATATCTAGTATAATCCCAAATTCCTGAGAAACTAAACCTGGAGAACACTTCCACTCACCTATTGTAGGTTCTCCATATGTACGCAAAATTCTGAAATGGGATCAGTTACACTTAGAAAAACATCCCAGCCAATTTCATTATTCCTAATGAGGTAGGGAGATGGTGAAGAAATACCACTGCACAGGGAGGGCTCAATGAAGCTGGATTTGCATTCTCCTCACCTGCCAGAGGTTCTATATTCTAAGTCCTTTCTCAAGTAAGTCTTTGCAACCTTCACATCCAAGACTGCATTATGGATCTGTAAGATTGATGATGGCAAATTCATACCTGCTTCTGGTGAAAGTTTTAGCTGGCATAGGTGAGAACAGTGTTAGTCTAACCTGACCTACAGCCATTACTAAGACTTCATAAGACATTTCAGTGAGATCAGCTTTTGATCATCTCACACCTAGCACACTGAGCCTGAGAGTAACTCTATATACACTGCCTTTGGGAGTCCTCTTGCTCCCCAACTCCACTTAGAATCTTGTTTGTGTGAGGCTTCCAGCAACCTTGCCCTGTCAGCCACTTCTGAATCCCTACCAAGTGTCTTTCTGGGTGGACTCAACTAGATAATTTTGCTTTTTCACACTCCTTTCCTTCATTTGTCTTGGCATCAGCTTTCTCTGAAAACAGTAAATTTGTTGGGTTTTGTGCAGGATTTTGGGTTAGAGCCACAATGAATTTGGGGAATGAGTATTTTCTCTTGGTTTTGTATATTTTTTACATTAATAACAAATATCAGAAAAAGCAGCAGCTAATTTTTTTTAAATGTAGCATTAGCTAAATTTCGAACAGCCAGAAGCCACACGTGGCTATAGTCTCTAATTTCAAACAGTAGAGATACTGAACACAGCCATTATCACAAAAGTTCTACTGGATAGCACTGATTTAGATGTAGCTAGACAATGTGATTTTGTTTACTAAATTCAATAACTCAAATTCAGCTACTACTAAAAGAGTAATACTTTAAAAAATGGAATTCAAAGACAATAATTAAGATATGATCATTTCAGGTAAAGATTGTATAATAAACATAAGTTACTCTAGTATGTCTAACTATAAGGGAAATGTATTCTTTAAAAAGTTAAAGTCATAACTTTACCTGTGTTAAAATCAGTTTTCTAAAGGAGGAGGTGGCATGGGAATGCAGCGGAGTTCAAGTGTGGAATTCATTTGTTGAGAGTTAAATATTTCCCAAACCTATAAAAAATAAAAATGAAAAAATGTGAAATATTAAGATAATATTCTCAAGAATATAGCACAAAGAAAGAACAGTTTTAATGAGACATTTATAATACAGGTCATCTAATTTTTTAAAATATGGATTAAAAAATTTTTATAATAATGAGTATACCTATGTATCTTTATCAAACCTAATAAAAATGATTTTGGAGAAAGTGTGAATTTCAGTTTGAAATTTTGTCATTAATTATCTTTAAGAACTTGGGTAGGTAGAGGTCCTAGGCTGGATTTATAGTACCCACACACCCCACTATTTTTTTTTCTTGAAAGTATGCTGTATAGGGGCTGGACTATGGCTCAGCCGTAGAATGCTCGCCTAGCATGTGCAAGGCCCTGGGTTCGATCCTCAGCACCACATAAAATAATAAAATACATAAAATAAAGTTTTAAAAAAGTATGCTGTATAAAACCAAACTTAAATAAGTATCAAGGGGTACAAAATAATTTTGAATCAGTTTCACAACTAAAAAATTTATAATTTTTTTACACAGAAAGTGCATTATTTGAATTTTTAGCATAAAATCATAAAGTGTTTTGGTCAGAGAGAACCACTTTAAAATGGCTAACAATAGAGACTTCTTAGAAAGTAAGAAGTCTCTTTTCATATATTTGCTGAACACATTACGCTCCATTTCTTCTTTAAAAGCGCATCCCAACTTTAAAATTTAAAACATTATATGTACGTGTCATAGATCCTGGCCAAATGTATTTTTTTAACACAAAGAAAATACAACAAAATTGTCTTAGAGATAAATTACATTGTCCTTATAAAGTCTTCAGTATTCTTTAGACTGAAGAGATATCTGGAACCCCTAACTCTAACCATAGCAATGACTTTTTAATCTCGTATATACTGGGCCTTCACATGAAATTTTTATTTTATGAGTAGATTCTGCATGGCAGGGAAGGGAACTTACACCGTCTCTGGAAAGACAAAAAAAGAGACTGGTAATATTTTTTTGGAAGGCACATCTGATTTTAAGACAAGAGGGTGGGAATAAGACTCTGATCATCTTTTGTACCCTGAAAATTTTGAACCACAAGGACAACTGCCAGATTTTGAAGCAGTGTGTGTATAGAAATACTGAAGAGCTAAGTGGAGAACCTCTATAGAGAAAGATCTCCCATAATATTTTAAGACTAAGAATATGGATATTCATTAGGTTCTCAATTAAGAAAGCAAAAGGGGGAAAAAAGGGCAAATGAGAGAGAGAATGAGTTTTTTTAAACTTTTAACATAACACTAAAGCACCTTAATCTCTGGATGATTGGAGGTAATTAGCCCCTCACCAGCTTGTGTAACAGTGAAGTGTAAACAGCCACTACAATTCTTTCAGATACAAAATCTGGCACACAATTTAAAAAAACCAATAAGAATGCAAAGGAACAATAATATATGACCAATAATTAAGAAAAAAAACTAAAGAGAATCAGACCCAATAATAAAGTTGAAATATATGGCAATTATTTAAAATAATTCTAACATATTGGGGAAAACAGATAAAATTGATGAAAGATGGAGCAGTTCATCCAATGAATTAGGATCTAATTTTTTTTTTTTAATGAAGGATCTCACTAGATAGTCCAGGCTGCCCTTGAACTTGCAATCTTTCTGCCTCTCAATTACATGTGCATGCCACCATCCCTAGCTCCCAACAGACATTCTAGAACTGAAAAATTCAATCTATATAATTAAGAACTCAATATTTTTGGTTTTACAGCAAATGGACACAATAGAATATAGGATTAGTTAACCAGAACACAAGTTAATACACAATGCCCAAACCAAAGTATAAAGAGAAATGACTAGAAGAGAAGGGAATGAAAAGGCAGGGAAAAGGACAAAAGGTTTAAGAGAAAGGTGATACAGGCTCAAAATGTATGTGTACACACACACACACACACACACACAAATAGAAGCCTCAAACGATAGCAGAAAGAGATAAAAGCAATATTCAAAAAAAGAATAGCTAAGAATTTTCCAAAACTGATAAAGGAAATCAGTCTAGAGACTGATCATGCTCTACTAACTCCAAGCAAGACATATTAAAAAAAAACTATACCTAGGATATCAAACTATGAAAGGAAGAGAGGAAGAGGAAGAAAAAAGTCATAATAACCGCCAATCTAAAATATTATACCTAACAAAAATATCCTTCAAAATTAAGGTAAAATAAAAATGCTTACAAACAAAAAAGGGGAAATTTCTCACCAGTAAGCTTATACTACAAGAAAATTAAGTGGAATTATTCAGACAGAAGAAAACCATCCTAGATCCAGAACATGGAAACACAGAAAGGCATAACAATGCAGAGTAACTGAATTGCCTTGTAAGGTTTAAAGGTTCTAAGATTTTAGCAGTAATGCGACAGTGTTAAAAATCATACTTTGTATTATACATGCAATAAATTAAAGATAAATGTTATAATTTTTAGGATAATCAATAAAATTATAATACATAACAATTCAGAAAAATGTAATATTTATGTAATCTAAAAGCATGCAAAAAAAAAGAAGAAAGAAAACAAACCAGATAAGCCAAACAGAAAACATATTATACATACAGACCCAACATATCAATAATTGTATTACAGTCTATGGAAAAAAAATACTTCAAGTAAAAGTCTAAGTTTGCCAAACTGGATTAAACAAAAAAGAATCATGGGGCTGGGGTTGTGGCTCATCGGTAGAACGCTTGCCTTGCAGACATGAGACCCTGGGTTTGATCCATCCTCAGCACCACATAAAAATAAATAAGTGAAATAAAGGTATTGTGTCCAACTACAACTAAAAAATGTTTTAAAAGAATCATATCTCTTAAAGAGATACACTTTAAATATGTGCCCAGAAAGATTCAAGTAGAGGATAGGGAAAAATACACCATACCACACTAACCAAAAGAAAACTGATGTACTCTGCTAATTTCAGTTAAAGATTTAGAATTTAAGACAAGAATCATTGCTAAAGATGAAAGAAATATTACATAATAATAAAGGGATCAATCCCACAGGAAAATGCCACAATCACAAATTTTTTATACCCCCATAATAACCTCAAAATACCTGAAGCTACAATTTGCAAGCTTTAAAGGAGAAACAGACAAAGCCACAATCACAGTTGGAGACCTTAACACACCTCTCAATAGTTAACAGAAAAAGCATTACAATCTAAACAGTGCAATAACAAACTTGACCTAAATGACCAATACAGAAAATCATACCCAGCAACAACAAAAATTATGATCTTTTTCAAGAACGCATGAAACTTACCCAAACTGACCACATACTGGGCTACAAGGAATCTTCAACACACTTCAAAAAAAAAAAAAAAAAAAGATGATGCCATTCAGAGTATACTCCTTAACCACAACAGAAATTAGAAATCATTAATAATAACAATAACAATAAATAAAAACCTGGAAAAACACCAACTACCTGGAAACATAAAATTACATTTCTAAATAATATTTGGATTGAAGAAATCAAAGCATAAATTACAAAATAGATTAAACTGAATACTACTGAATATACATTAAAACTTATGATGTAGTTATAGCCTGAATTGTATATATAGACAGTCCTTGATTTTCAAGCAGCAACACAGAATAGCAAGTGAACAAAACAGAAAACAAGCATACAGTAGAAAAAAAAAATCAATGTAGTCAAAGTTGGTTCTTTGAAAAGATTAATAAAATTGATAAACCTTTAGCCAAACTGATTAAGGAAAAAGAGAACACAAATTACTACAGAATTTTTAGACATCAAAAAAAAAAATATGAAATTTTATGCCAATAAATGTAACAGCATAAAATAGACCATTCCTCAAAAAATATAAATCACCAACACTGAAAGAAATAGACTGCTCAAATAGCCCCAAAGATATTAAAGAAATGGAATCTGCTATTAAAATTTTGCATAAAGAAAATCTCAGATGCAGATGGTTTCACCAGGGAATTCTTCAAAACAATTAAGAAGAAACATAACTCTGTTACTCCTTCTAGAGAACAGAAAATAACAGAACACTTCTTCACTTTTTTTAAGAACCAGTACAAAAATGATGCCAAAACTGACAGAGATATTATCAAGAAGAAAATCATGGACTGATCTAATAAACACAGATGTAAAAATATCAATGTACTGGTGAATAAAATTTAACATTATATATAAAAATAACATATATAGAAAGGAATTTATTCCAGACATTTAAGAGTAGTTTAGAAGAAAATTCATATGATTATCCAAATATGTATAAAAATAGCCTGTGACAAAATTCAATATTCATTCATGATAAAATCTATTGGAAAATTCACAAAGAATTTTGGATAAAAAGAAAAAAAGCCCTCAGGAAGCATCACAGTCAATGGTAAATGATTAAAAACTTACCCTTTTCAAGTGGAAAACAAGTCATAGATGATCATTATCATTTCTATTCAAAATTTTACTGGAGGGTTTAGCTAGTACAGTAAAGCAAGAGAAACAAAAAGAATAAGGACTGGAAAGGTAGAAACAACATTATTCATACATGATATGATTATGTCCTAAGAGAGTCCAAAAGATTCCTCAGATTATTAGAATTCATAAGTAAATGTATATTTCTGGCTAGAAGATTAATATTAAAAAGCCAATCATGCTTCTATAAACCAGCCATGGATTTTTAAAATATAAAGGACAAAAGAATTTTTTTAAAACTAGGAATAAATATAACAAAATTAGATTAATTTATCTCTAACTAAAGTATAAAAAAGGGCTGGGAATGTGGCTCAGTGGTTAAGTGGCCCTGGATTCAATCCCCTGTACCAACAACAACAACAACAAAAAAGTTCCTAGACTGCAACATAAAGAAGGGAAATGCACATGAGTAAAGGAGGCAGAACCAAAAGTCCAAGTAGACTAAAGTGTTAGATAAAATAATGGAGAAACACAGAAAAAAAGAACACTGGAGATCTACAGAAGATCCCCTGATCAATACTTTTGAGTAAGGAAACTACCTGAAGATGGAGCAAGAAGCACCTAAAAGTGGATATAGCAATGTCACAGAATTCACATAGCGCCATAAATAGTGCCTCTTCTCACCAATCAGATTAAGGATTGGTATAAGTAAAGGGTCCTCCCTAATAAAGGGGGAATTAAAATTAGCCCTACCTGAGCACAGATTCAGTACTATCTAGTAAATCTTAAAATCAAACCCTGAAAAAAATCAAATTGTTTTCAAACAACTGACAAAGAAAATAGACTTCAAAAATATTTTTAGGAATACAAAAATATCCAGAACACCATAAGATAAAATTCATAGTATCACATGCTTAATAACAAAATTACCAGGAATAGAAACAACCAGCCAAACAAGATCCATAATAAAGAAAAAAAAAATCAGCCAATCAAAATTGACACAGATGTTAGAATTCTCAAAAATATTTTAACAGTAATTATAACTATATTGTTCAAAACATGAGTCACAGAAGGTGTTAACAAAAATTTTTAAAAGACAACCTAATCTTTGAGGCAAGGATTGTGGCTCTGTGTCAGCATCACATAAAAATAAATAAATAAAGATATTGTACCCATCTAAAACTAAAAAAAAAAAAAATTTAAAAAGACAACCTAATCCAAACTACATTATAAAAATAATTTGTGAAATTTAAAAATGAGAATAACATTGGACATTGAATAAAAAAATCAGTGAACGAAGACAAAGCAACAAAAAATAATCAAAATGAGTCAGAGAATTTAAATAACCTGTTATTTTTCAATAGTGCCCACCTTTGACATGAAGAAGGGCCCCAGTGCCAACTCTTAAAATCCCTGGTAATCCTGGCTTAGATTTATGAGAAAATGTGTCCCCCAAAACAAAAGAATCAATATCACATAGCTAAACCTATAGTTAGGGTAAGGAGAACTTTCTGACCCACTGGTTTTAACACTGAAATTTTTTCTCCTTCTCAGAGAAAATGGAAGGAATACAGATGTAGTTCCCACTAATGTGTATATATATATTTTTCCTTTTATCTACAATTAGTATTAGCAACCAATAACCCAAAGAAAATATTGCAGTGCTATCAATTAGTGATTACATTGCATAATGTCTAGCACAGCATTTCTAATTCTTTCCATTTTAACCACAAATAAGGAAGCACTGCATAGTTTGTTATCTGAAAAACTTCTAAGATGATAATGTAGTATTAGTATAAGACACCACTTTCTCAGTGGTGCACACCTGTAATTCTGGAGGCTCAGAAGGCTGAGGCAGGAGACTTCAAAGCCAGCCTCAGTAACTTAACAAGGCCCTGTCTCAAAATAAAAATATTAAAAAGGGTGGGGGGCTGGAGCTCAGTGGTTAAGCACCCCTGGGTTTATTTTGAAAAACAAAATAAAAACACCTTTTCTTAATTAATCAACTCAAAGCACGAGACTGATAAAACTAGAAGAGAAGAGACTACCAAAACTTTAGCAAGTTATAATCTCTCTGCATTACTGTGATGATCTGTTTTTTCCCAATTAATTCCCAAGAAGATATGTTTTACTACACAAAACCAGTAAAATATGTATATATCAAAAATGTGGCTTTTCACTTTTAAAATTTTCTAACAAAAGTCTCAGAACTTAAAAAACAGAAGTATACCTCCATTCAACTTAGAATAAGGCCAAGAGAAAAGTAAATGCTATGAAATCCTGTGTTTGATTTAACAAATTTATGTTGGCTTTTCAAAACAAATCACTGAGCCAAATGAAATAACAGGACCCTATGGATACCAAAATATGGTTCCTTACCTAAGATGGCATCATATTTGCGTACAACTTACATTCATTCTCTCATGTACTTTAAATAATTTTAGTTTCCTTAATACAGTGCAAATGCTATGTAAATAGTTGTTATACTCTATTTATTTAGATAATAATGGCAAGAACATCTATATATGTTCAGTACAGATGCATTTTTTTTTCTCTCTTAAGTATTTTGGATCTGTGGTTGGCTGAATCCATGGTTGCAGAATCCACAGATATGAAGAATTTATTATAGTGAAATAAGTTAAAAGTGTTCCTTAAACCTGGGAAATAAGGGGGTATGATAATGTCCCTGAAACTCTGTGAGATATATTTATAAAAGTGTATATTTTTCTAGATCCACAGTTTTTTTAAAAATATTTTTCTCAGATGTTGATGGACCTTTATTTCATTCATTTATTTATATGTGTTGCTGAGAATTGAAGCCAGTGCCTCACACATGGTAGGCAAGTACCCTACCACTGAGCCACAACCCCAGCCCTAGATCCACAGTTTTTATCAAATCTTGATGGAATGTAAACCCCCAAAAGATGAAGAAATACTTTTCCAGGCAAACCAAATGAGAAGTTGCTGAAGAACCCAAGAAATAAAAAGAACTATAATATGTAATTTGATCACAGGGGAATAAAAGTATTATAAGCCAGGCATGGTGGTGCACACCTGTAATTACAGTTACCCAGGAGGCTGAGGCAGGAAGATCACAAATTCCAGATCAACCTGGACAACTTAGTGAGATTCAGACTCAAAACAGATTAATTAAAAAAAAAAAAAAGAACTAGGGGATATAGCTAAGTGGTAGAATGCTTACCTAACATGCATGGGGGTATGGATTCAATCCCCAGTATCATAAAAAATTTTTTTAAAGAAACATAATTTTTGCAGTTTAAATATATAATTTGCATCTTATGATCATAATCTTCTATCATATCTTATATATCATAATCTTATAGCTGTTTGTGAAAAGCTGTATTTCACTACTTGTCTTAATTTTTGAGGTCTAGAAACCACAAGTATTTCACCAAAAAATATATGCCCCCAAGCTACAAGGTACAGGTAAAATTACACTAATAGGGAAATCCTGTTCATTACATAAGCAACATGATTGACTGCAAATTAGATCATGGACATAAATCAGTCAGCAAATGAAATAACTGACCATATTTTCATGGAAGTTACAAAATCATATTAAACATACTAATTTTTTTAATTAAGCATCTATTCTACCTTATCACAATGCAGATTATTTAACAGTGCTTTTCATTGCTATACTGAAATTAGAATAGAGTCACAAGTTTCTTAGTGGAACATAAACTATGAAAGGGTTATGATAAATCTTTTGCAAAAAAATCACAATACCATGATGATTATACATAATTTCATGTCTAACAGACAACCTTTGATTTTCCTGAATAATAAATGTTGTTTATAATCATTCTGCCTTTGTTATTTTTTAAAATATTTTTTCAAATGGTGATGGACCTTTATTCATTTATTTGTATACAGTGCTGAGAATTGAACCCAGTGCCTCACACGTTAGGCAAGCACTCTACCACTGAGCCACAACTCCAGCCCAGGTCTTTGTTATTAAAAGCAATTCTTCAAACAATAATAACTATGAACAAATAAAATGGCTGTCATAAGTCACACTAAATTTGGGAGTTATGAAATAAAGGCTAATACATTTTTTAAGGGGCTCAATCCTCAGTGTATAGCTCAATGTTAACAGTGCCTGCCTAATATGCACAAAGCTCTGGGTTCAATACCCAGAACTGAAGGAAAAAAAGGGGGGAGGGGGTCAAAAATAATGCATGAGCCTATTCTAAAAGGACATTAAAACTGACCTTTGGGGCTACGGCTGGGGCTTAGTAGTAGCGTGCTTGCCTAGAAGGTGTAAGGCACTGGGTTCAATCCTCAGCACCACATAAAAAATAAATTAATAAAGGTAGTGTGTCCATCTACAACTTAAAAAACAAAACCACTTGACCATTAATAGACAATTTTCAAAACATTTAATTAACTGAGTCCCTAAATGATACAGGATTGCACCAACATTATAAATCAGCCCATCATCCCTTCCCTGCATGTCCCACACAGGAAGAAGTCAATCTACTAAAGAACAAAATAATGGAAGCAATGATTACCAAAAATCTGGTCCTAGATGTTAATCTAGGTCCTAAATATTAATGTTTTTAAATTATATAGTTTTAGTGATGTCAACTGTCTTTTCCTTTTTGAATGTTTGCCTGCTTCAGTCACATTGGCTTTCTTACTTTCTCTTCAATATGCCAAATTCATTTTGCCTAAGGCTGTTTATGTTTCCTTTACCTCTGCTGTCCAGCTGTTCACTTTATTCAGGTTTGGGACAGTCAAAGGACTGTAGGGAAAGGTTCAATCTAAAACATCACCTGTCTCACTGTTTACTGCTCTCAATGACATTTACTATTATTTGTTTACTGTTTAGTGGACTAAGGATAAGCATGGCCGGCAATTCAATCCCAGTACTTGTTTATTGTCTATTTTCCCCAACTAGCGCGTGCACACACACACACACACACACACACAAACTCCATATGAAAGGGTGTCTTATTCATCACTATCATCACTATATCCACAATCCCTCTTTCAGTTGTCTGCACAAAGTAGGCAGTCATTAGATGTATGGAGAAGGAAG